ATGCCATTTATGCCTAACAATTATCGAATAAAATTTCATCTTCCAATATAATTTTCTTATATAGAAGTGAAAAAAAAAAATTACCAAATTGTAAAATTGCTTTCAAAATTTTTTTTCCATGGAACAAATGAAATTTCAGTCAGTATGGTAAATGGGTCATTTTCAAAGATTCGTACTTCATATACAGCATGACAATGTTGAAAGTTAATGCTTATTTAAGTGGATTAATCTTCGCGTACAGAAGTCGGGTTCTCACTTGAATAAAAAAAGGCCAAAAATTAACATACGTTAATCATCACTTTATTTAAGTAGGCAATTGACTCTATACTCTCCCCAAGTCTTGAAGGAAAATTCATTAGTTTCAATCATATCAAGGCCGTAAACTTTGAAAGTTCATGCTATTACACATTGAACTGAACATGACAATTGATAAATATTTGTTGTTAATCATATCCATAGTACTACTAATTTCGAATTTCGTAAGATTTTGCTTCATTTCTTGTTTTCAAGGCTTTTGATCCCTCGATATTTTTGGTAGTGGAGGTCAATTCAATTCAAAAATAAACTTTAAGCCCCTCAATATATATATATATATAAAATCTGTAAAATCAGAATTTGGATCAAATCACACATCGCAGTATACTAGGCCTTCTAATTCTTTAATAGGTTTATCTAAAAGATTCGCAATATAACTAGGAAGACGTTTTAAATACTACACATGGGTTACTGGGCATGCGAGTTTGATGTAGCCCATTTGATATCTTGTATGCAAGAATCGACAAATTCGACTCCGCATTGTTCACAAAATTTCGGGTTTTCTTTTTCATCTCTGATTACTCGATAATTTCCACAAGCACAAATTCCACTTTTTATAGGCCCAAAAACTCTATCACAATCGTAAGATTTTGCTTCATTTCTTGTTTTCAGGGCTTTTGATCCCTCGATATTTTTGGTAGTGGAGGTCAATTCAATTCAAAAATATACTTTAAGCCCCTCAATATATATATATATATATTTTTTTTTTTTTTTTTTTTTTTTTTTTTTTTTATTATTTTTTTTTTCTCTCTCTCTTATTTTCAACCACACATTCTTCTGTAAAATAATATTACACTCAAATTTAAAACATTTTCTAATTTTTTAACCACACATTTTTCATCAATCTACTGTTCCAAAATATATTATTAAAAAATAATGAGACTCAAAGAGGCCCTACTCTCGATACACCAAGAATAGATTTTTTCTTGCTTCTTCAGTAAAATATAGTTTTTTATACAAATAGATGCCGTAAATTATTTATTACCTTTGCTATCGTCGCATCTTACCTAAAAAACATGCCATTAAAATGAACAATTTTAAAGATCCATAAAACTTTATCCACCTTTACTTTGAACGGAAAAATTAACTCAGTATAGTAAAATTTAATTATGGATTGGTAGTTTTTCTTTTCAAATTAAGTTGGGCAGTAGCAAAGGGTCAAACGTGAATCATGATCATATAAACGACCAAAAATCAAAATTGACTAATTTTGGATCTTCTCAATATGCTGCCGGCCTACACGGGCAAAGAAAATCCCCAGTAGATACTCGTCAAATTTAATTTGCACTATAAAAACAAATATATATATTCAAAATGTTATAAATAGAGAGAGAAGAGAAAATAAAAGTCAATAGATTTGTATGTATTTTATTAAGGACCAAAACCCTATATTTATAGGGAAGAATCGGGGATGCAACGATAATAATTTTTAGGTTTGTAAGGATACAATTGTCATTCACTAATAAATTTAACATTTACAATAATTTCCATTAAATGACACATTTCAAAATATCTGTTTCGCTAAAACCTTGTTTGATTTCGAGACAAAAAATAAATAAATCAAATGAATGAAGAGGAGTACAATTATTTTTGGAGCATTAAAAATAAATACTGTCTCATTAAAATTTTGTTAAAAAAATTTAGTGTGATAAAACCTAAACGAAAGAAAAATAGTATAGCTACCCCCTAATGTTGATCACTGAAATTTTTTAAGTCGATACATTTTAATCTCATGAACCAATTTCTTGAATATAGATATCAGCAGTCTTTTGTTAATAAATCGGCCACATTGTAACTTCAGAGAATTTGTTGGACATCGATGTCGCTATTCTTTTGAAACTCATGTATATGAAAGAATTTTGAAAAAAATATGTTTTGTTCTGTCACCTGTGACATATTATCCTTTGAGTTGTGCAATACAAATTGCATTGTTTTCATACAAAATTGTTGGATTATCTTTTGTTAAAGTTAACTTGCATGATGTTTGGATATGATGGTCACGTTCCTCAATTATACACATTATTGGTTTGCTTCATGGATAACAATAATTTCAGAATGATTTGAGGGTGTTACTGTCAAGGATTGCTTCCCAGATCTCCATAAATATAGCTATTCCTCCATGTGTAAACACATTCTATTTGTGATTTAGCTTTATCTGAGTCAGAGAGATAACATGCATCTACATATTCCACTAAATTGGATCTCGACTTTTGGGAATATAATAACCCCAAATCAACATTGCCTTTTAGATAACAAAAATATATTTAACACCATTCAAATGTCTTTTGCTTTAAGTGGGTCATAGGTGATCAGCTTAAAAAATCACTACCTTAATCAAGCTTTAAAAAAATTAAGTTCTCGTATCGATAACGTGTTATGAAAAGAGAAAACAAAAAAAAAAGAAGAAGAAAGAATAGAAATCAAAAATCAATAGACTTGTGTATATTTAGAATCAAAGCCCTATATTTATGGGGGAGAATTAGAGATACAATGATAATAATTTATATGGCTACAGGGTATAATTGTCATTTACTTATAAATTTATCATTTACAACAGAAAAAAAAATTTTCGCTATATATAAAGGCCTCAATTACATTAAAGTACTTGCCAATTATAGTTTATAATATATTAAAAGCAGCATATTGATTATTATGATATTCCGACGACAATGCAATCAGCAACTTGTCCATTGAGTGTGAAATGAAGCGAAAAATATTTTTATTGCTTTCCAAAAAAAAAATAAAAAAATACTGCATTTCGTTATCAATGCTAGTTGATGGTTTGATAGAGTCTGTAGCCAAAATAAATAAAAAATAAAAAGAAACAAATGAGAAAGTGCCAAATGAATAGGCCATACATCTAAATCCAATCGGTAATGTAGACACCATACCAATAGATTAGTTTAACAAGGTATTATGACTTGCAAATGCGTGTTTCAAATTCATATGCTTAAAACATACAAAATAGGAATCAAGAAGATACTTCGTAATTTATTAATAAAAGAAAATATTAATCATTGTTCTCAATAATTTAAGAATTTAAATAGGGATGACAACGGAACGGGTTCGAGGCGGGACGCTGTTCGTCCAAACCCCACCTCGCCTTCAATAATTTAAGAATTTAAATGGAGATGACAACGGGATGGATTCGGGGTGGAGCCCTCTCGTCCAAACCCTGACCCATCCCATGCCCCGCCCTGCCCAGTCTAAGGCGAGCGGGGGTCGGGTAGCTTTTTGCCATGTTTGCTGTTCCATTTAAATTTTTCTTTTAATTTTTTTTACACATTTTCTAAATCTGAAGAGGTGAGCTGAGCTGATGAGGGGACCTTTCTCTCATTTGTAGGGTTGGCAACGATTCGGTTATGGGTCGGTTCGGTCAAAACCATAACCGCACCACTAATTTTTTGACTATACCATAACCGCACTATAACCACGTAAATCGGTTTGATTCAGTTCGTATCTCGGTTCGGTTAATATCCACGAAAATAAATTATTTTTTATAGGTTCATCCGTCAAATTGATATAAAACAATTTATGTAAAAAGTCAATGAAAACAAAAATACAATATTCAAAACGAAAATGCAAACATTATCAAACAATATTTCAAACGAAAATGCAAACATTATCCCAATTTTCAATTGTAAAATACAAATTTAACAAACAATATTATAAATATAACAATGCTAAACTTTTCCTTCATTCTTAATTGTTGTGCATCGAAGTTACTTGATTCATTCTTCTCTACAAGTCTTACTAGCATAAATCAATACTCAAAGTTGATTTCTATATAGTAAATAAGAAATGTAAGTAGATAATACAATGATACTACCTATTCCAGAATGATTTTAACTAAGATTTTAATAAAAAAAAATGTACCTCTTCGTCAGTTTCCTTCTTGCTAAACGTTGCACAAACTTTAGAGTATGATGAAGAAGTAAAATTTTTTACACACAATAGAAAAAAATTAACAATAAAAGGAGCCGTACATGAATTTGTGGTTTGTGAAGAGTAGGGTTTGCATTTATATACTGTCATACTAATGCTATTATTATGGGGTAATGATAAGTGGGTTGGCCGGCTGAGTCATGTAGATGTAGGGAGGGAGGGGAGATTTTGTTTTGGGTTAGATAGAAAAGTAGTGTAAATCCTAATAATCAATTCAATTGTTTTTTTTTCTTTTTAGCGGGTAATCGGTTCGGTTTCTGTTCAACGGAGTAAATACCATACCCGCAACGTCGCGAACCGGTTTATTAAAATAAAAATCATATTCGCCCCATTGCACCAACGGTTCTTTATTTTTAAAGAACATATTCTATAATTTGGAGAGTATATATAAATTTAGAGGGTTAAAATTTTGAAATATTTCAACAAACTCTTTATATTTAATACTTAATTTTAAAACTCCCAAAAAATATTTATTATTTTTCTCATCTTTTATCTCAACTAACTTTTCTTTAGATTGTTTTATTATTTTTCTACATTAAAAATTGATACACTTTGAATGCATTTAATTATATAGAGTGAGTATGGAGATTCTAACCTACCCTATAAATTAAAAGAAAAAAGCTAGATGTACAGATTGAATCTCACAGAATGCCTACAGAATTTTAAAAAAAAAATGACGCGGCAGGAGGAAAAGAGGGAAATTTAAATTTTACATCATAACCCGCCAAAGCCGATTTTATTATCCCCAAAGCTGGAAGCCCTAAAATTGAAGTGGAGAAATAAGCTGCTCCACTTCATCTCCGACCTCACGAGCACCGAAGCTAAGCATTGACTGTTCAGGCGACCACTCTAGCATTCTCTTCTCCTACCACTCTAGCAGCTGATTCCTTTTCCCACCGAGCAGCTTTACTCTCTTCTACAGTCCATTCGATAGTTATCTTACCCACACACGGTAATTGCCTTGTCCACTTTCTTCGAATTTTCTTTTGCAACTTTGGGGCATAATGTATAGGCATCCCAAAAAATAAAAAATTGTAGTATCCATTTACGTAATTTATGCAACCGAAAACTAATAGCAGCCAAAATTGTAGTATCCATTTTCAAGTGTCAAAATGGTTGCCTAGACTCCACAATTTGAAACATATAGCAGAAAAAATGATAAAATACAGCAAGTTAATGACTATTAGTATGTTTTTTTCATATTACATTTTGAAATGTAATTACTGCACTTAATTTGGAATTTACTTGAAACAAAATGTGACTAGTCAATAAATCTTCCCAACTTTCATCGCTAAGATAAATTTGTTCGTAAATTCTAGATGAATTTTCAGTTTGTTATACTGGAGGATCCCTATTCATTTGTTTGCTTTGATGTTGCTATGGTTAGAGATATTTGTTTCCTTCACAAAATTTGCTGTATAAAATGACATCCCTGTTGGCTTAGCAATTTACTCTAAATCTTATCCAGCTAGTTTGGTCACAGCATACGAGAGTATGGAAGACCTGAATGAAGACCTTCACGTGCTGTCCGATAATGAGATAGTTGGGGACAAATCAACATTGTGGACAAAGAACCATTAGGAGAAGATAGAGAGATTGTTTCAGAGGTAGGTATAATATTCGATGAGTAAAAAGAGTTGTTTGATTTCTACAAGAGCTATGCTTATGTTGTCGGATTTTCCATGAGGAAAAGGAATTTGAAAAAGGGTAACGATGGACTTGTTAGATATGTCATGTTTACATGTAGTCATAAAGGCCGAAGAGGCAGTAACACAAGCATGACTTTGAAGCCACAACCAACTAGTCAAACAAATTGTAAAACGAGGATATATGCATCTGTTGATAATCTTGGAAAATGGAGAATTAACACCATCCATCTCGAGTAATATCATAAAACAAGTCCTTCCAAATCTAGGTTGTTTCGATGCAACAGAGAATTGACTGCAAATGCGAAGAGAAAGCTTGAATTGAATGATTTGGCAGGAATTTCATTGCATAAAAGTTACAACTTTGCACTTGTGGAAGCAGGTGGGTATGAGAATACGACTTATATTGAAAAGGATTGTAGAAACTATATTGAACAAGTGAGACGGTTACGACTTGGAGATGAGATGCCGCAGCTTTACAATCCTACTTTTCAAAGATGAAAGCACGGTGTTTGGGATTTTTATTTCAATATGGGTTTGGATGATGAGTCACGGCTTCGAAATATATTTTGGGCAGATAATAGGTCTAGGCAAGCGTACAAGGAGTTTGGCTATATTGTTACCTTTGACACCACATATCTTACAAATAAGTACGACATGTCGTTTGCCCCTTTTGTCAGAGTTAACCACCATGGACAATCAATACTGCTTGATTGTGATTTGTTGTCAAATAAGGATACATGCATATTTGTGTGGTTGTTTAGGATATGGTTCCAGTGCATGCATGCCCAACCTCTCCACAGAATAATTACAAATCAAGATAAAGCCAAGCAAAATGCGATTTGAAATTGTTTTCCCAAATACAAAATATAGATGGTGTTTGTGGCACATTATGAAGAAGTTCCCAGAAAAATTTAGCTATTATGTTGATAAAGGTTCGATATTCTCATCTATACATGGACTGGTATATGACTCCTAGAGTATTGATGAATTCAAAGAATGTTAGAGAGTGATGGTTGGTAGATTTGACTTACAGGATAACGATTGGCTGTCAGGCTTGTACGATAATAGAAGTTGTTGGGTACCATGCATTCTTAAGACAATGTTCTCAACAAGGATGTCTACAACACAACGAAGTGAGTGTGTGAATGTGTTCTTTGATGGATATGTACATTCGAAAACCTCATTAAAACAGTTTGTCGAACGGTACAAAAGAACCCTTAGGAACAAGGTCGAGAAAGAGTTCCAGGCTAATTTCAAGTTAGGCTCGCAAATGGTACCGTGTGCAACTGCCTTCGAAATGGAAAAGTAATTTCAAACAGTTTATACAATTTCCAAGTTCAAGAAAGTACAAGATGAGTTCATAGGAAAGGTGTATTACGACGTCATTTCAGTTTCAAATGGATGTTTCGAGGTGAAGTATGACGTTCGGGAATCTGTCGTATGTAGCGAGGGCAGGGGGAAGAAAACATATTTTATCTCGTTTTGACCGAACACAAGTGAAGTTATTTGCAACAGCCATCTGTTTGAGTTTCAAGGAATTATTTGTCGACATGCGATTAGTATTAGACCGTAATGACATCACAACAATGTCGAATAGGTATAGTGAGAAGATGGAGGAGAGACGTTAGTCGTGCACGCACAAGAGTCGTAGTGAATTATGACGGGTTAGCTAGTACTCTAGAACAGATTCTATATGATGGCATGTGTTAGACATTTTCGGAGTTGGCGGACCACGCTGCAAACAATGAAGGGCGCGACACGTGCGATAAAGGATTGGACAAAATCTCAAGCTACAGAACTGAGGTCTTCAAGGTCGAGTAGTGGTAGTAATGTTCTTTCCCAACCAACTACGCATTTACAAAGACAATGTACTAATTCAAAAAATACTGTCAGCGTGAGCGTGTTAGATCATAAATCATCAAATAGAAAGGACGCGCCAAGGAAGCTTTGAAGAAAAAGCCCGTTGGAGTCAACTTCAAAGAAAGCAAAGGTAAGTTGCTCTAATTAACTCTTTAAATAGATTAAGACCTTCACTACAAAATCTTATCTCTTTCCATGTACATATACAGGCTACTTCGACTAAATGCAAGGGAAAAAGACCAGCACTTGGTCATGCTGATATGGAAGAGGATGCATCCGTCCTTCAAGAATCTGAACAACTTCAATATTCTCAGCCGACCCCATTTTCATATTCACAATTGTTGTTTGTAAGATTACATTTTTAATTTTTTCAAAATTTTATTTTATGTTCTCTTGAAGTTCCATTGACGTTGTCATATGATGCAAGGTGATGTCGGAAGCCAAGTGTTTAGCCAACAATTACCGTCGTCTACTAACGTCATATTCAATTCCCAAGCTACTTCAGGTCCATGCTTTGATCAGGTAAAAGTTTACTTTGTTTTCTATGCACTTTGGGTGAAACACTTGAAATGATAACTGATTATGTATTGCTGCATTTTATTTTCAATTCAATGGTACAGATTGTTTCCCAAGACCATTCCACATTGCAGACGACCTCGCCCCATAATCAACCAGTGATTTCAAATCACAAGGATGACGAAATCTCATATGGCAGTTGATTGGGCAGGAGTGGTTGAAGTATTATCATCCCATGTGGTGTTTTCAAATCATAAACATGAGTAGAACTCCATTTTATGTCATTCGTATGTAGTAGTTAATCTTCATGTGTATTGATAAACATTATCGATGAACATATGGAATGTTTCTGTCGTTATATATATTATTATTCATCTTCAGATCTTGTTGGACTTCCATAGGATGATTTTATAAAAAAAAGGATTTTCTTGTATTTATTGTGAATTAAGTTCTTGGTAGTTCTTCTATTTGGTAATAAATTTCTGCTGTTGTGTTTCAGATTTTTGGTTTATTATAATTTGGTTGCTAGATTATTATATAAAATGTAGACTTTAGCTCAATTCGAATAGAAAAACTACGCATTTTGAATCCCACAAATTTGTTCTTCTCTGTTTAATTATCTTCATTCATCCAAACGAAATGCACATACAGTTCATCAAAACGAAATACACAATTCAGGGACCTTGATAAAGAAAAAAATGCTATCAAACTATAATTCCTTCATCATGGTTTATCAAGATTGGTACTTTCCCTTTCCATTCACTTTGCACTTTTCTTTCCCTTGCGGAATGTGATATTCAACGAAATCTCGATGTTTCGTTTTTCGACAATTCGAGCTAGACTATCGAATATGGTTGGCAAATCTTCCTCGACTTCATCTATGGCCGCGGGATCCATCGCTTCATTCCTTGTACTCGATTCAATACATGATATTTCTGTCTTGACCCAATGGAAATATCCACAATTTTTACTGCACATTTTAAATAATCGCCTTTGGTTATGAGTCTTCCTCTCAACTTGAAAACATTTCTCCCATCCTAGGAGACACCATGGACATCCTAGTTTTATTGGACAGTCATTGAAGAAGTTCTCTGTGCTCCTACAACCATGACAAGCACTAACATTTTTTCGTCTCATCTTAGATAGGAATCAAACAAAAATGTAAGATTGCCATTCTACCAGTTTTTCACAACAATTTACAGATAAAAGGGAATTACATTAGTTTCTCACAACAATTACATATTCGACAAGCTTCAAAACATTTTTCACAATTTTCACAATTTATAGAGAATAGGGAATTTGTTTGATACTCACAACAATTGCATACTAAACAAGCTGCAAATAGTCCTTCAAAACATTTTTCACCATTTTTCACAATTTATAGCTGGGGATAGAGACTTACGTTTTTCACAATTTTCAAAACTTTCTTTTTTTCACAATGTTTCACACAAAATATTGTTGCTGTGGACTGAGTTTATTATCGACGGTGGAAATCAGTTGGCGTTCGTGGAAGAAGGCGAAGATACATGGCTGTTGTGGACTGACTCGACCAAGAATACAGCGTTTGTGGATGGTGGTGAAGATGAAGGACCCGATTTCACTGTGCGTTCGGCGTTTGTAGATCTAGCCACATTTAAAATCGTCGGTCAGCGGTTCAGAAGGATGGTGGCGCTGGTTGGAAGTTGAAGAAAGGGTGATTCTAGGATTCCGAATTTCAAGTGGAGAGGCGGACGGGAATGAAATGAAGGAAATCACTGGAAACATTTGTTTTGTCCTTTTTTTTCTTTTTATAAAAAAAAAAAATCTTCAGCTGCCACATCAATCTATGAAGACTCTGTAAGGAAAGTTTCTGTACGTCTAACAACATTGAAATTAAAATGTTAATTTAAAGAGTTTTCTAGAGTATGTTTTTAAATGTTTACTCTTTAAAATAAAGAGAATCTCATATTTAAAGTCTCTTGGAGTTGCTTTAATGGATTCATTTGCTTTCATTATCCATTAAGTATTGACCAATGATTTTGGAAAAAAAATGAAGAAGATGGAGTAGAAAAGCCAATAGAATAATGATATATGTATGGGGATGAAATTTACAGGTTTCTTACAGACATTTTTTACTGGTTTGAAATTGGTGACGTGACCACCACTTTAACATTTTTTTTAAAAAAAAATTAGTAGTGGAGCTCCAGCTGAACCCTATCGCGGCTCAGTCCGTCTTTACAAGAACCTTTCAACTTGTCCATGAACTTCTTCCTTCGATGCCTTTTAGCCATCAAATTCTTTGTTGGAAGCGCTTTCTTCTTACCTTTATGATCTCTCCCACTACCAAAGGTGACAATGCTATTAGTGTTCGAGCCACTTCTATCGTTTTTATCACTCTCACACTTTATCGATAATACTATTCTTGATCAGAGTCATACTTCAAAATTGACCCATCTATGCTAAAATCTCCCCATCATCCCAGCTACTGTTTTTCCTCTTCCTCTCATTTACATCATTGAATTCCCCCGTTTTTGCCATAGCCTTCAAGGCTAGTAGAACTTCGAGAATGATTGATTTTACCACCTAAATCCTAAGCCCCCAAATTGTTGATGCTCTCCCAAGCACGATTCATCCTTAGAGCAGCCCTTTTTTTGAAAGAGTGTGGTTTGTGAATCTTGTGATCCTATTGAAACAAAAGCATAAAGAAGTTTCAAAATCTTAGACCTATTGACGAACAATGGATTCCTATTCATGGAACCCTCCCCAAATCCCGTTACTTCAAAATTCCCACTAGGTTAAGGAACTTAAAGCAAATTATTTGTTGAAAAGTGATGATTAGAGCTCCAATTAAGAGTGCCCATTTGGGATTGAGTACTTGAATCATGATAACCAGTATTCAGTGCCCCTATTCCTCGATTTAAAGCAATTTTACGAAGCCCATTATCACAAACCATATCAAATGGCCCTTTAAAAAAGTGCTTTGAATTGGATTCATGATTGTTGATTTTTGTGGTATAAAATAATTTAATTGGAGGGTGCACAGAAGTTAATGGTATACATATGGTTTGGTTGTTCTTCAAATTCATTCGACAACAATCGGAGGTAGGGAGGATGGTGACGACATTGGCTTGAAGTGAGGGATGAGATTTCGGCTCGGGAAAAAAAAAGGTATATGACAAATTTTTTTACTCGCCATGTCATCCCTGTAAGATGCCTACGAGCCATTTGCTTGTACGTGTAGTGCGGTCCAAGTCATTAAAACTAAAAAATAGCTATATGCTTCCAATTCATAAAAAATAAAAAAAAAAATCATATAGGCTCTGTTTGGGCAACCTTTTTTTGAAAAAAATACATTTTTAATAGTGATTTGAGACCATTTCAACCATACATTTCTTCAATAAAATTATATTAACGCAAATTCAAAACTTATTTTTTTTTAATTTTCTAACCATACATTTTCCATCAATACACTATTTAAAAATACAATTTCATTCCAATAGTGTGGCTCAAACAAAAGCATAATTTTCATTTCAAGGTATTTAATCTCATCAAAATTTAGGAGTTAATTAGGCTCTCCACATTTCTTGGTTGAAGGTTGTTTTTTTTTTTTTTGAATTTTTTTTGTTGATAAGTTATGTTTTTAATAATTGTTGTTTTTGACATTCCATGACGTTCTCGATATTGTAAATGCTGTTATCGATATTTGAATCATGTTTATTTTGACACTCAACTCTTTATTGGTCTAGATTGAGATTTTGTTCCGAATACGAGAGTTATCAACATTTCATAAAATTCTTAACATTTTAAGTGGAGTTCTTGACATTTTATAAATGTTTCGGATAATTGCAACAAAGTTTCTAAACCTTTATATTTTTTGCAAACATTATCTCAACCTTCTGTTTGTGTCAGCTACAATTCCAAACATTTCATTTTGTTGTACAACAAGGACAAATGGATGGACTGTTAGTTAAAATAAATAAATTAAAAAATCAAAATAAAGAAAATAAAATATAATAAAACTCACCATCTTCTTGGGGTACTTTTAAGTTTGACCCAGTCAAAGGACCTAAATTTCACTTTGACTTTCAAAATTATGAATATTATGATATTGGCCTCTTGTATGGTAAAGACAAAGATGCCCTTAAATGTTTTGTATAATTACAAAATAATATATTGTTGAAAGGATTATACTACCCTTTTAGTTAATAATTGAAAACCAAACACTTCCCCACTTATAAAAACTTCAAAACGAGCTTCCAACACAGGAAAAACTCTCATCTTTTCATCCGCTTGAACCTCAAAATCTAGAAAAACTTTGAAACGTTGAAGCTGAAATTTTTTTTCATATCAATTATTTCAAATCGGTAAGTACATTTACGCATGTTTAATTTTGTTTTTAGTAAATTAGTATACTTTTGAATAGAGAAATTTTATGTCGACATAGTAGTTAGTATAAATTTTTTTTAACAGATCTTACCTATCAAAAAAATTGAACAGATGCATAATATTTTTCTATAGAACCGTATTCTCCTGCGCAAAAACAGCCAACTGTTCGACTGTTAAACAGCCAATTAACCGACTCTGCACTGATTTTTTTTGGCACTGATTTTTTCTTATAATTAATAAATGAAGTTGATTAAAATTATTTCCTCATGCAGATATGATAATCCCCGTCTGTTATTTCGGTGATTTCGAATTGAATGAAAATAATCGGTGGGAATGAAGATGGACGAGTGACATACGTGGTTGTATTGCAATTCCCATAACAGAGAGTACACCATATTTAGAAATGTACCACGATTTGCAAAATAAGCTGAATGTCGATCAATCTCAATACGATATGCAATTGAGATATCTATTCAACGGTTATGGGGATTTATCCATTCCGATGCCACCGGTATTCGTTACTAATGATGCTTAATCGAATTATCTATTAAAATTGAATAAAATGCATCGGACTCCTACTGTTCTTGGTGTGACTTTAATTACGAAGGATGTTATCGAAGGTGAACGCGAAGATTCAGATAAGGCGGATAACAATGATCGAGATTTTTGGGAGACAGTGAAATAGTTCCTGTGGATGGTGTGGGTATTCTTGAGACAGTTGTTTCTGATCGTGATGTCGCTGTTATGTGAAGAATTCCGTCGACAGTTGAAGACAATGAGAATATAAACGAGTTTACAAATGAGAATTTGATTGCTTTATCCCGACAGAGACACGAGCTGGGTGGGAGCTCACAGGTTGGAACAAGTGGACCGTCCTCCAATTCTTCCCGTGTGGCTCCCGATGATGAGGACTTGCAGGTCGAGCAACTGTTTGAAACCAAGAAAGATTTACAGGAAGCTGTACACTGACTCGCATTAAAATATAACTTTGAGTTCAAGGTAAAGAAATCAAACAAGTCATTATTGACAGTTGCTTGCGTTGAAGATAGTTGCAATTGGCGCTTGAGAGCAACTAAAATTGACACGAATGAGTGTTTCGTAATTCGCAAGTATTCACGGAACATACTTGCGAAGTGGGAATTTTTCGAAACGATCACAGGCAAGCTCGAGCATGGTTTATTGGTCGACAGATAATGCACAAATATCAGGATCCACGGACGATCTACAGACCTTCGGACATCATTAACGACGTCCGTCGCGAGTACGGAGTGGTTATGAGCTACCAGAAAGCGTGGAAGGCCAAAGAATGTGCATTGGAGGATTTAATGGGATCGCCTGAAAAGAGCTATGCTAAATTGGCTAGGTATTGCCATAACATGGGGACAACTAATCCTGGCACGGCATTTTTTATTGAGACAGGGGGCTATAATTGTTTTAAGCTCTCGTTTGGTACCCATTTTTTTCAAAATGTATTTTTCTCTCTCTTCTTTTTAACCACATATTTTTTATTAAAATAATATTATACGTAAATCAAGATTTTTTCCTTATTTTTCAACCACACACTTCCCATCAAATTACTATTCTAAAATACATTTTTACATAAAAATGGCTATCAAACACCCCCTAAGTATTTCTTCATGGCTCTCGGACAATGTATTCGGGGTTTTCGAAATGCAATGCGACCCGTAATTCTAGTTGATGATACAACTCTGAAAGCTAAATATCAAGGAAAATTAATTATTACTACACGTCAGGATGCCAACATCCAAATTTACCCTATTGCATTCGGCATAGTCGACAGCGAGAATGATCTGTCCATGCGTTGGTTCTTTTCTAAACTGAGGGAAGTGATCGGGAAAGTCGAAGACCTTGCCTTTGTAACCGATCGGGGACAATCTATAATAAACGGTATCATTGAAGTTTTTCCCAGGGCACATCACGGGTATTGCATGTACCATATACAAGGTAATTTGAAGACTAGGTATCGGGGTACATGCATCGTTTCATTGTTCAGGATAGCAGCCGAAGCTTATAGTGCTGAAGAGTGTAATAAGTTCATGCTCGAGATAGGAAGTAAATCATTACCGGCATTGGAGTATCTGACGAAGATGGGGATCGAACATTGGGCGTGGTCATACTTTCCAGGACGTCAATACAACATGATGACGTCGAATAACGCGGAGTCTCTCAATGTATTGTTTAAGAAGAATCGAGAGTTACCAATTCTCGCAATGATTGAGAACATTCGTAACAAGCTACAACAGTGGTTTCATGACCGACGTGCGGCATCACAGAGTTGTACTAGCGTGTTGGCCCTAATTCAAGAGGAGAAACTGTTTAAGGCGGCTGAGGTTGCGAGGAAATTGAATGTGGAAACATTAGAT